CCGCAGCCGGGCCCAACGTGGCACTTTGGCAGAACCCTCCCCGGCCGGGGCTACGATTCAAACCCCCGGCGGCTCCTGGACCAATCGTGAGCGGACCACTGACTAACTGACAGAGACTTGCCCCAATAGCGTCTCTCCGAAGGCCCGCGGCTTGCCCGGTCTCCAGAGCAAGCAACCAATGGCAACTCCGGGAGGAACAAAGAAGGCGGGAAAAAGGCAAAGGGGTGCGGCCGAGAGCCCCGCCCCTCGCCTGCTGTGTGGCGTCTGGGAGCGAGTTCGGTGTTCTCGGTGCGGACACCGCGGTAGCGGCGATTTCCCGGGCCCCTGTGGTGGGTGTCCGGCGGCCCAGACCGTCAGTGAACCGGCTGCGCAGGCCGGAGGGGCCAGGAGTCGGTCTCAGAGCGGTGGGCCGTTGTCGAAGGGCGTCTTTTGTGCCGGCAGAAGGCGCAAAGGGTGCGAGGAGCCCGAGGTCCGCGCGCGCTTGGCCCTTATCGCATCTTGACTCCCAGATTTGCTCTCGGTGACGCGGAGACTCCGGGTGGTCCCGGAGCTTAGGGATGAGTAAACCCCAAGTGTCAGCTGTGTTCTCCTTGACATATGAGCCCTCTCCCCCAAGCCTCTGGGAATCGTACTGAGTCTCCCTAAGACTGTGGTCGGCAGAACCTCTTTGATAATCTGGGGACGGGAAGGGTGTTTTGACGCCGTCTCCTTGGGGAGAAAATTGCGTGCAATTTTGCAAGCAGTTTTGAAAAGGTTCGTGGCCCACGAGTTAAGCATCTGGAGTCATAACCTGGGGAGGCTGTCGTCCTCGCACTCCGGGTCATTAGGGCAGTGCGCGCTGTTGCCCACAGATGAAACACAGGAAATTCTGCAAGGGGTGTGAGTGTGTGTGTGTGGGTGGGTGGTGGTGGTGGTGGTGGTAAGCTTTTAGCATCGTCGTGAGACTACACGGAAACTGTTAGATCAGGTGGTAGACCCGAAGGTCAGTGTTTCCAGCGTCACCTTAAAGGTACAGGTGCAGCTGAGAGAAGACAGCGCGAGTATCGCTTTAACTTTATGGAACCAAACCAACAATAGAGGGTTCTTTGTACAAACACAAGGTAAAGCTATCAGTGATCGAAAGATTTTCCTAGAACATAAAGTAACAATAGAACATTTGGAAGAGGGAAGAGGACGGAGGAGTAGTGGTAGTTAAATCCTCTATCCCTGCAGTGAGTCTTCATGACACCTTGCACTGATAATTCAAAGAATCCTTTTTAGACATGGAGAGAGCTGCCAGAATTGAAATGGCAAACAATTGAAAATTTGCCTGAGGGAAAGGATGAATTGTGGCTGGGACCTTTGCATTAAAAAAAAATAAAACGCTCTGTGATATTTTCTTAAGTAGGTGCACATATTAATGTGCTTAAAAACTGAGGAAATTGGATCAGCAGGTGGCGTGGTGGTTAAAGGTGCTGGATTCCCACATGGTCCACCGCTGTTCGAGTCCCAGACCTGGCAGCTTGCTTTCTTGCTTTCCCTTTCTCTGTCTCTGTCTCTCTCTGGTCAATTTGAAAAAAAAAAATAGTGATAACAAATGGAATTAAATAAATACATAATTCTTTGAAAAAAAAATAGAGGAAATTGTGGGGCTGGCAGGTGGCGTGGTGGTTAAGGTACTGGATTCCACATGACTGACCATAGTTCGAGACCTGGCAACTTTCTTTCTCACTTTCTCTCTTTCTCTCTCTCTCTCTCTCTCTTTGTCTCTCTGCCTCTCTTTGGTCAAATTAAAAACAGCAAATAATTTTTTTAATAGAGAAAATTGTACGGAAGGAATTATAGATCCTCAAAATACTTTGTCTTTTTTGTAAGAGTGAATCACAATGTGGGTAATTTGGAGGAGGGGAAAAACTCACCCTAAATATTCTTATAGGTAACAACATTCACCTGTCCCTCTGTCTCCCCATCCTTGTTCAACCCAGTGTAACTTGTTGATGTTGTGAGAGTCAAACAGCTGGACTCCTGGAAAAGCCTTGCCAAGGACAAGAAGGCTTCCCTCACATTGAGGAGTTATTATGTGAAGTTTTACTCTTCAGTCCATAAGGAAGACTGTTAATAGAGTGCCAGGCCACAGTTGGTATTAGCAGAGAACCCTTTAGCAAATGATTTGCAGGAGAGATTATCTCCGCCGTGTTCACAGAGCTATGAAAATCAAAGAAACTATGAGGAAGTATTGTGACATTTTAAAATATAAGGCTGGGTCCCTGTTACTGATACTATTAAAATGCAGGTACAAAGGTATATAGTAGAATACCAGTTGAAAAATGTAGGCAAAACAATGATGTTAAAAAGTTATCGGGACTAGCAGTTAGCATAATGGCTATGTTGCTGAACTCCCATGTAGTCGACCGCGGTTGGAGTCCCAGACCCTGTGGCTTTAACTCATGCCAGGGTGTATGTGCGTGCATGCCTGAGATCCTGAGAGGAGAATGGAGGAGAAGGGATTGCGGCGTGTCCATCCCTCCTGGGGGGTGATTTCTTGCTTTCTGTCTCTTTGTCTCTCTCTGTCATTCTGGCAAGCGCACATGCCCTATAGCAAAAACCTCCAAAAAAAAAAAAGAAAGTTATGATAATAACAAGAATGGTAAATTCACACATTCTTTACTTTTAAATCTGAGTATACTAAAAGGCAAATTTCCTTAAAAACTCTTTTTAAAAGTTTACTTACACATTTCATGAGAGAGCGAGCGAGAAAGACAAAAACCCACAACAGTCTTTGCATCACAATCCACACATCCAGCCTCAGCCAGCCGGGGTCATGAGCAGGCCACGTGCCTGGTGGGTACAGACCTCAGAACCTTCTCATGTGGTCTCAGCATCTCTGAGCATTGGCCAACCATTGAACTGACCTGATCTTTATTTTTGCTAGAGGGCGGGTGTGCTAGTGAGAGAGACAGAAACAGCAGGAGAGGAGAAAGCACCTCATGGGGAATGATCATGCTGTAATCTCTTCCCTCCTCCTTTTGGGATCTGGGCATGCATGGATGTGTACATGATGTGTTTCTCAGGTCACTGGGTCCAGGACTCAAACAGCAGTGTGGTTGGCCATGTGTTATCTGGCTGCCTTAACCACCAAACCCCAGAGCCAGTCTCTTGATCTATTTTTTTTTTTTAACCACTGTGTTGAAAAGAAGAAAGTTGGGACCAGCAGTTAGCGTAATGGCTTTGTCGCTGGGCTCCCACGTAGTCGACCATGGTTCGTGTCCTAGAACCAGTGACTTAAACTCATGCTGGGCGCCTGTGCGTGCGTGCCCAAGATCCCGAGAGGAGAATGGAGGAGAAGGGATTGCGGCGTGACCATCCCCCCTAGGGGGTGATTTCTCGCTTTCTGTCTCTATGTCTCTCTGTCTGGTGAGCGCACGCGCCCTATAGCAAAAACCTCTTCAAAAAAAAAGGAAGTTAAGCACCCTATAAATCCTCTTCTGCTCTAGTTGTCAATATCCAGATAGAGATGCTATTTCAGAGCCAAATAAAAATAATTTAAAACCAGGGCCAGTCGTATTTTATTTAACAATGGGGATATGTTCTGAGAAATGTGTTGTCACACGATTTCCTCATGTGTGAACACCATGGAGTGTATTTACACGCACCTAGAATGGCCTACTTACTACACACGTGCACTGTATGGTATTGCCTATGTGTTCCTCACAGGACCACCGTCATGTACGTGGTGTCACTGCCTGAAACATTGTGTGGTACACGACTGCACCTTAGTCATTACAGATAGAACCCTGTAGAGAGAGGAGATTGTGTTTAGAGATGGCCAGTGCTGATTTATGGAAGCTGAAAGAGTAGTATCATGCATCTGACCTTAGTCACCGATCCACAAGATGGAAAGTGCTGAGTGTCTTCTTCACGGCAAACTGAAGCTTATTTTAACTCGAAATAGGAAGTGTATTGGAATGCTCTTTAACAGTTTTCCCTTTAGAAAGAGAGAGAAAGGGACCTGGAGAATTAAAATTACAGTAAAAACAAAAATCCGGAAAGACTTTATGCTTTTTCGCTTGTTTTTGTTGTTGTTCTTGTTGTTTTGTTTTGTTTTGTTTTGTTTTTCCAGCTGGTTCTTTTAAAGAAACTCCCACCCCTGGAAAAATGTGTGATTTTAAAAAATTATTTTAATTTAATTTTATTCATTATTATTTTAATTTGACCAGAGAGAGGGAAAGTGAGAAAGCAAGCCACCAGGTCCAGAACTTGAACTGTGGTCAACTATGTGAGAGTCCAGTGCCTTAATCATCTGCTCGTCTCCCAAACCCCCCAAAAAATTTGACAAAAACTTTATTGAAAAGGCAATGTTGGGACTAGCAGTTAGTGTAATGGCTATGTCGCTGGACTCCCATGTTGTCGACCACAGTTCAAGTCCCAGACCTGGTGGCTTAAAACACGCCAGGCACGTGTGCGTGCGTGCCCAAGATCCCGAGAGGAAAATGGAGAAGGGATTGTGGCGTGGCCATCTCCCCTGGGGGGTGATTGCTCGCTTTCTGTCTCTATGTCTCTCTCTGGTGAGCGCACACGCCCTATAGCAAAAACCTCTAAAAAAAAAAAAAGGCAATGTTAACTGTCAGAGCTAAAAACCCTATTTTGAATGGGTCTTCATTATTCCTTTATTTATTTATTTATTTGCTATAGGGCATATCCACTCACTAGAGAAAGAGAGAGAGGGAAATTGAGAAATCACCCCTGAGGCAGGATGGCATGCCATAATCCCCTCTCCATTCTCCTTTTGGGATTTTGGGCACAGATGCTTATGCACCTGGTGTGATTTTCAAGCCGCCAGGTCCAGAACCCAAACTTTAGTCGACCATGTGGAATCCAGCCACCTTAACCTCCACACTACCTGCTGGCCCTTAAAGTCTAATTGGTCATTATGTAAAAGCTATCATAAGTAGCTACTTCAATGACATCAGTACCAAATTAGTGACTCCCAAGTTGTTCTAAAAGGAGTTGGGGCATTCAGTTAATTATTCACCTATATTTAGTGCGGTTGCTCAGCCTAATCATTATACCATTTTGCTACTTTTAAACTCTTCTGTAGAAAACATATTGTAGTAAAGAAGAACTAGCTTCAGAAATCTTTGTTGTTGCTTGTAAAGATATGTTGCTCCTGCTCTTTTGTGTTTTGTAAGTAGAGGAAAATCATTTAAGGAAAATTTTTAGATAGTAGTGATGGCTTTTTAAAAATCATAAGTAGTGATTTTCAGTTTGATACTTAAATAAGTATTTACTATGATGAAAGTAGTCTAAAACAAAATATTGATGGTTCCTTCTGTAGAAGGAAAAAAGGAAAATTTTCCTTCCTCTCTCTCTGCCTGTATATTTATATAAACAATGTAAAGTTTAGACTATAGAGTTTTTCATAATGCTACTAAAATATTGTATTCTTGTTTCAGACAGGCTGGGTGCTTATCTCGAAATCTTGGACAAAATATTTGAAAAAAAAACCATATTTGAACTCAAACTCAGGGAGCTTATGACTTTTGCAGGATTATGAGTTTATAAATATCTGCCTTCTGACTTAATGATAGATCAGTTCAGGAAGGTGTGGCATGCTTCTTGTTTTAGCAGGCCTAAAATAAAGCTAAGAAAAAGAACAATGCTTAATTTTGGTAGACTAAATTTATATCCTGGCTTTTGGTTCTACTGACTCTGTTGTTTTTGGCTGTCTTAATGACCAAGCCACCTTCAGCCTCAATCTTCATTCTCACTTAAGCCCAAAGTGGAGTGGGGTCCCTAGAGTGTGGTCTTTCCTCATAGTCTTTTTAAAATTTTTTAAAAAAACTTATTTAAGTCCATGTGTTATATCATTTCTTTAATTTGACCAGAGAGAGACAGAGATAGAGAGAAAGAGAAAGCGAGAAAACAAGTTGCCAGTTCTGGGATTCAAACCATGAAAGAAGAACTAGCTTCAGAAATCTTTGTTGTTGCTTGTAAAGATATGTTGCTCCTGCTCTTTTGTGTTTTGTAAGTAGAGGAAAATCATTTAAGGAAAATTTTTAGATAGTAGTGATGGCTTTTTAAAAATCATAAGTAGTGATTTTCAGTTTGATACTTAAATAAGTATTTACTATGATGAAAGTAGTCTAAAACAAAATATTGATGGTTCCTTCTGTAGAAGGAAAAAAGGAAAATTTTCCTTCCTCTCTCTCTGCCTGTATATTTATATAAACAATGTAAAGTTTAGACTATAGAGTTTTTCATAATGCTACTAAAATATTGTATTCTTGTTTCAGACAGGCTGGGTGCTTATCTCGAAATCTTGGACAAAATATTTGAAAAAAAAACCATATTTGAACTCAAACTCAGGGAGCTTATGACTTTTGCAGGATTATGAGTTTATAAATATCTGCCTTCTGACTTAATGATAGATCAGTTCAGGAAGGTGTGGCATGCTTCTTGTTTTAGCAGGCCTAAAATAAAGCTAAGAAAAAGAACAATGCTTAATTTTGGTAGACTAAATTTATATCCTGGCTTTTGGTTCTACTGACTCTGTTGTTTTTGGCTGTCTTAATGACCAAGCCACCTTCAGCCTCAATCTTCATTCTCACTTAAGCCCAAAGTGGAGTGGGGTCCCTAGAGTGTGGTCTTTCCTCATAGTCTTTTTAAAATTTTTTAAAAAAACTTATTTAAGTCCATGTGTTATATCATTTCTTTAATTTGACCAGAGAGAGACAGAGATAGAGAGAAAGAGAAAGCGAGAAAACAAGTTGCCAGTTCTGGGATTCAAACCATGGTTGGCCATGTGTGAATCCAGCGCTCTTAACTATCACGCCATAGTCTTTTTTTTTCTTTAAAGAATTATTTTATTTCATTTATTATCATCATTATTATTTGTTTAATTTGATCAGAGAGAGAGAGAAAGTAGGAAAGCAAGCTGACCATGGGACTAGAACCGTGGTCAGCCATGTGGGAGTCCAGTGCTTTAACCACCATGCCACCTGCTGGCCCCACACCATAGTCTTTTAAAGTCAGAGATGTTGGATGACCTCCACAAAATGGTGCTTGCATTTTTAAAGTGTTTTGAGACCCATATAATGATGAAAAACCTCAGATTTGTATTTTACGATTATAGCACATCTAAAACATTTTAAGAATACAAGTACACATGTGGGTAAATTATTCTTTCACTTTACAGACAATGCTTAGTATGCATATGGGTTTAATAACTTCCTTTGATAATTCTGGGGCCCTCCCATCCATAGAATTAGAATCATTCTTGGGTCTGTCATTTTGATATCTAGCAAAGTGAAGCTTAGAGATCTTGGATAATTTACTCATTTGAGCCAAAATGCTCACTTGACCCTTGTAACTTGCCATCCTTTTTTGTAAGTAGGTGGGCAATGAAAACTGAAACACCTGCTTAATTATTCTCTTGGCTCTTTAAAATTAAAGCAGAGGCCCATGGATTATTCAAGCAAGTAACATTCCTTGAATTATCTGAATATTTATCTGTTTTCTGACTCAGTAAGATAGTGGAGATATAAGTATTCCAGTAAGCCAGGGACAAAATAAGATTATAGTGTTCTCTTAAAACAATAATCAAGGGACCAGCAGATGGCAGAATGGCTACATTGCTGACTCCCATGTGGTTGACTGTAGTTTGAGTCCTGGACTCAGCAGCTTAAACTCATGCTGGGTGCCTATGCATGTGTGCCCAAAATCCCAAGAGGAGAATGAAGGAGAAGGGATTGTGGTGTGACCATCCCACCTGGGGGGTGATTTGTCACTTTCTGTCTCTCCGTCTCTCCAGCAAGTGCTTGTACCCTATAGCAAAAATCTCACTTAAAAAACAAAACAAAACAGAAAACAAAAACCTAAAACTATAATCAAGATCATAGGAAAGATGAAGCCATGCCTACCTCTTGTTTGCTTGATCTTTTTGTTTTCCAGTTGTATAAATCAAAGGGTAAAACAATAGACTAGATATAAGAGAGAGATAAGAGAGGCAGCTACATCAGAGAAGGGTCAGAATGTGTTATTTCTATATCCATTTTAGATGTCCTTTGGGTCAGAGCTACACAGTCTATTAGGAGAAAATAAAGAATAAGTTTTCAAATGCAATTTTTTTTTTTTGAGAGGTGTTTGCTATAGAGTGTGTGTGCTCTCCAGAGAGACAGAGAGAAAGAAAGCAAGAAATCCCCCCCCAGGAGGGGATGGCCATGCTGCAATCCCTTCTCCTCCATTCTCCTTTCGGGTTCTTGGGCATGCACGTACATGCGCCTGGTGTGAGTTTAAGCTGCCGGGTCCGGGACTCGAACCGTGGTTGACTACATGGGAGTCCAGCGACAAAACCATTTTGCTAACTGCTGGTCCCTCAAATGCAATTGTGAACTAATGAATGGATGACTTTATACTAGCCTGAGGGACTTATCTATTCTTTCTCTCTAAAGGCTGTCACCTCATTGTTCTTCTGTTGCATCCTCCCAAGTAGGGAGGATAATAACACCATAAATATATCTTTCTGATCACTAGTTAAGCATGTCCAAACTCCTGGATAAATCTCACTCTATACATTTGAAGCGACGTTAAAAATTTAAGTAGAGTCACATCCTATGCAAATTTGGGTTCCTGGCAACATCTTAAACATTGAGTGAAAGTAAAGTGTTCAATCTGGTGACATATTCAAAACTAAAAAATGAACTAGTGAGACCAGGCTGTGACCCGGTAGTTATGTGAGCTGGATCCCACATGGCTGACTGCATGTTACAAGTCCCAGACTGGGTAGCTTGAAAAACACACTGGATGTCTGTATGCATGCCCAAATTTCTCACAGGAGAGGTAGATGACGGAGAAGGGATTATGGTGTGACCATTCCCCATTAGAGAGTGCTTTCCCTCTCTCTCTCTTTCTGTCACTGTTTCTCTTCAGTGAGCACATGTGCCCTCTGACAAATTAAAGAATAAGAATTAGCTAGTGTTCAATGGAATTTTTCTACCCATTATCTATTGTATGTAAAGAGTGAATTTTAACTCTTTTTTTTTTTTCAACAAAAGGATGAAGAATTCACCTGCATGGAATATGACATTTTTAAATATTAATCCCATTGTCTGGGCATACTCTATGATAACATTGGGCACTGAAATGTTAAGTTCTGTCTTCAGTTTCTACTATGTGAAACTTTATTTACAACTGTACAGGATTTCAGATGTGGCCTTTTATCAAGCCCAGGTGAGATGGAATTTCTACTGTCCTTTCACACAGGGCAGACCTTTACTTCCTCATAAATGTGTATTACTATAATTTGCCAAAGAGCTGTTTCTTCATATAGCCAAAAGAGTTATCAAGAAAAATTTCTTTATGTCCAAAGCTCTCTGTTTGAGGGCAAAGATAATTTTTTTTAAAAAAAAGATTGCCATTTAAAACACAAAATCTTCAGAATGTAAAAGATAAGTTTTGGTTTATCTGGAAAATTAACTTATATGGAACTGTCATTATAAAGATGTTCTGTGTCTTGAAAAAGGTCCATGGTATACACAAATGTATTGGTTCCCAATTAGATGGTCAAGATGAATAGAGTTCATGGTTTTAAAATTGTAATATCTGACACCAACTGGGTACATGTAGAAAATTTAATGCTAAGCATAACAAGCCAGATGATGAAAGACAAACATTATATGTCCCCACTCAATATATACTGAGCCTGAACTTTATGGCAGAAGCTGAAAGAGTGGAAGGTATAATAAAAGAGGCAGCAAGAATAGATACCAGAGACTGTATAGGATGTGGGGTGGACAGTTGGGAATGGGAGGGAGAAGCTTAGGAAAAAAATATGTAACAGACATAAGAATGATATGGTATGCTGTAAAGACAATAAATGTAAGTATATATATGTGTGTGTGTGTGTGTGTGTGTGTGTGTGTGTAAAACCTTATATTTTATAATGTTACTCATTTATTCCTGACAACAACAAACTTATTAAATCCATTTTAGATGGTACACATTGATATTTTAATCTTCTTGAATGAAGCTATTGGGTTGGCAGAAAAGTCATGCATTTTTGCATAGAAAAACAGAAAAATATGTCATGACTTTTCCGAAAGCCTGATATGTAAAACTATGCCTTGCGGCCCTCACCCTTTACAGTTGCATGGCCCTGTGTGCCATTGTTGGGAGGCTCTCTAGCATAATGATTGATAGCACAGGTTCTGGGGTTGTCTGCTTTGGTTCAGACCTTTCCTCTACTGTTGATTAACTAGGCAAATTGCTTAACTTCTCTGGTCCTTAGTTTGCTTATTTGTGAAGTGGGGCTTCTGATAGCAACTGTCTCATGGGATTGTTTTTAAGTCTTTGATAAAATAATGCATGTAAACTTGGAAGAATGACTGCATACAAAGTGAATGCACATTGGTTTTTGTATGATATTAGCTGTTATTAATATTCCTTTAAAATATTTATTTTATTTTATTTATTTACTCATTTATTTTAATTTGATGAGAGAGAATTCTTGAATGAAGCTATTGGGTTGGCAGAAAAGTCATGCATTTTTGCATAGAAAAACAGAAAAATATGTCATGACTTTTCCGAAAGCCTGATATGTAAAACTATGCCTTGCGGCCCTCACCCTTTACAGTTGCATGGCCCTGTGTGCCATTGTTGGGAGGCTCTCTAGCATAATGATTGATAGCACAGGTTCTGGGGTTGTCTGCTTTGGTTCAGACCTTTCCTCTACTGTTGATTAACTAGGCAAATTGCTTAACTTCTCTGGTCCTTAGTTTGCTTATTTGTGAAGTGGGGCTTCTGATAGCAACTGTCTCATGGGATTGTTTTTAAGTCTTTGATAAAATAATGCATGTAAACTTGGAAGAATGACTGCATACAAAGTGAATGCACATTGGTTTTTGTATGATATTAGCTGTTATTAATATTCCTTTAAAATATTTATTTTATTTTATTTATTTACTCATTTATTTTAATTTGATGAGAGAGAAAGTGAGAAAGCAAGCTACTAGGTCTGGGATGTGAACCATTGTCAGCCATGTTGGGAGTCCAATGCCTTAACCACACCTGCCAGGCCCAGGTGTTATTAATATTTCAGCTGGTTCTGAAAACACTTTTTATTTGTTTGTTTTTATTGATCAGTTTTGGTTATTTCATGTAAGTAAAAAAAATTTTCAGGAGTCATTTTCATCTTGTACTGAATGTGATAGTTTATACCTAATGCATTGAAATAATCCTTGCTTTTTTTTTTTTCCTCCCTAGATAATTTTGATGGTCTGGAATATTCTTAATAACTTGACTGGGTATTTTCAAAACTTTAAGGCCGATTGCTGTTTAAGTCGCCATGGGTCTGTCTTGTGCGGTGCCCTTTTATATGCAATAGCCTTTCTGCTTCCTTGGTTCCCTTGGAAATACTATCAAGAAGGTGACTGGCTCAGTGGACTTCACCTGACAGTATCATTATGCGCTTTTGATAGCACACTTACTTATATTCAGCAAGCCCAGTGTACACTGTTTGTGGAGATTTTCACTAGACACGAAAGTCGGCTTCAACTTACTGAAATTAACCCAGTGGCATCACTAGTCGGATCTACCAGTATCCTTTTCTGTGGCCTCGTCTCCAATAACATGGAAAGTTTGCCCAATTTTCAAGCTATTGCTATTGTCATTGCCTTTCTGGGTGCTGCCAGCCTTTACACTGGCATGCGCAGTGTGAGACTCCTTGAACCTAAAAGAAGCCTGGAGGAAAACTTCTTGGAAACTGACGAGGATCTTGCCTGTGCCTCTGTGGTCTTATGGATGAGACAGATCTTGTCCCAGAAAAACTTTTACCTTTTTCTGATTATGAATTTCTTCCAAGTCTTCCACTTAACTTTTTTCAACAACTTTATGATAATCTTTACAGATAATCTCATTCCTAGAAATGTCCTTTCTTCTACCATGAGAAGCATCATGTATGGCACAGGTTTTATTTTCCCACAGGTATGTGATAATTCTTCATACAGTTTTCTACAGAGATTAAATACTTGATTCTTAGCCGGCTGAGGAAGTTAGAAACATGATTATATCGGTAGTTTGAAAAATGACACAATTATTAAGAAACCTGAAGATTGAGAGCCCTGAACATAGGACTCAGTAGAAACATAATGGGAAAAAGAGATGAAAGGAAAAAAAAGAAAGAGAACCTAATGACAGTTGAGCTATACAGTATTTTAAGCATTCTAGCTTTTGAATTTTGTTCCCTAAGCTTTCTTATTTAAACCTCAGCAGAACTATGGAGGACACTAAATGACTTCCTGTGCACATGTAGGTTTTTATAAAAAAAAATTATTTATGTAATTTTATTTATTATTTTTTAAATTTTGCTATAAGGAATGTGTGCTCACCAGATTGAGATGGGGAGAGAGAGAGAGAGTGAGGGAAAGTGAGAAACCAAGCTACCAGGTCTGGGACTTGAACCACAATCACCAATGTAGGAGTAGAGTACCTTAACCACCACACCATCTGCTGACTCTGAGCATGTAGTTTTGCTTTCTTCAAACAGGTAAGATTTCTGTAACTGTGGGACCAGCAGGTGGTGCTGGACATTCCCATATGGCTGACCATGGTTCGAGTGGACCTGATAGCTTGCTTTCTCACTTTTTTTCTCCTTGTCTCTGGTCAGATTAAAACAGATGAATGAATGGATGAAATGAAATAAACAATTCTTTTAGAAAAAGGATTTCTGTAACTGTTAATGGAAAAAGAGTTAAATGATCAAGAATGAAGCCAATTTTCAAAACACCTGGCTGAAAGCCCCAGATTTTCAGAATATTTTTAAAAAGTCCATGATCGTGGCCATAATTGTAGAGGGCTCATCCTCCTTCAGAATATATACAGATTAGATTGTTGGGAGAGCTGATATATTGCTCCCCTTAACCTAAATATATTCCTTAAAATTATGACTTAATCTTGCTTGTGATGTGAATTTTGTTCTATTTTCAAATTAGGAGACAAATCAAACAGTTTACCTATACTCTTCAGGAAATAAGTTATTCTAGGTAGACTAGTTCTCACTATTTACCAGCTTTTAAAAATATTTAAACCACTTGAGATAGAAGCAGTTCTAAAATGTTTTAAGTGTTGACAGTTACTGAAGCAAAGTATGTAGTTTGGAATTTGCCTTTCTGCTATGATCTCAAGGTCTTCGTGGTTACTGTATACACCACAATAATGACAGCTCACAGTATGTGAGTGCTTACCATGGCCATGGGCTTCGCCAAGCACATTGGACACCGTTTCTCATGCAAGCCTCATAACAATCCGGGAGTGATTCTTCTCTCCTAATAGATGAGAAAAGGGTGGTGCAGAGGCTGCCTTTGCAGCCATGCACTCTAAGATTCTATCTCTGAAATGCTCTGTGTTTACATCATTTATTCAGCAGACGGAATTTCATTTTTGGCTTATCGGTATAGTCCCAGGTATGTGTGTGCATGATAACAGGATACTCCCCCTGGCAGAACAATTTGAAGTGTGTCAGGTTTTTTGCTCCTGGTTGTAACAACCTAGAATGGGAAACTATTTGAGTTCCTGTCACTGCTTGTTATTTGCTATCAGATTCTAGGGTATATATATTTTCTCACTTTAAACCAAGTACTTGCCTATAGTTTCTTCATTTCATCATGTTAAAAAAAATTTCTTAAACCCTTACGTAGAAGGGTTTATGGGGACATGTTCACTTGCCGGAGAGACACAAAGAGACAGAGAGAGGAGAAAGCACCCCCCATGGGGAATGGTCATGTTACAATCCCTTCTCTTCTATTTCTCCCTGCTTTTGGAGTTTGGGGCATCCCCCCCCCACACACACACACACACACTTGTTCAGCATCTTTCTTCCTTTCTTTTAAAAAATACGTTTATCTTTAAAGATCCAAAATTTTGCAAGACACATGGATATACCCAGAACTAGTTGGAAATATACATCTCAGAAGTGCTGCTGCCAGCCTGAGGTTGGGTAAAGGACTCCCTTAGTAGAATCTAGTCCAACCTCATGGTAGCCTAAGTTGTTTGGCATGTTTCTCAAGTCACTGGATCCAGGACTCAAACCGTGTAGTCAGCCATGAAAGATCTAGCTGCTTTATCCACCAGGCCACAGTGCCAACTTGAGTAGATGCATTTTAAAGAACAGCTTTATTGAGATTTGATTCAAGTACCATGAAAACAACTCATTAAAAGCAAACAACTCAGTGTATTTTAACATAATCATGTGCCACATCATTACATTTTGGTCAATGGACCACACGTATGACAATGGTCTCAAGAGCATATAGACTATAACATAAAGTTTAGGGGGCCAGCAGGTGGCATGGTGGTTAAGGGGTTGGATTCCTACATGGCCAACTATAGTTCGAGTCTCACACCCAGAGGCTTGAAAATTACACTGGATGCATGTGTGTGCATGCCCAGAAATCCAGGAGGAAAATGGAAAAGAAGGGGCCACAGTAGGGCCATGCCTTCTGAGGGTGATTTCTCACTTTATCTTTCTTTTTTTTTTTTTTTTTTTTGAGAGGTTTTTGCTATATGGCATGTGCGCTCACCAGACAGACAGAGAGAGACAGAGAGACAGAAAGCAGAAAATCACCCCCCGGGGGGATGGCCACGCCGCAATCTCTTCTCCTCCATTCTCCTCTTGGGATCTTGGGCACACACGTACGCACACACACCCAGTGTGAGTTTAAGCCACCAGGTCTGGGACTCGAACCATGGTCGACTACATGAGAGTCCAGCAACATAGCCATTATGCTAACTGCTGGTCCCTCTCACTTTCATATCATATATATATATATATATATATATATAGAGAGAGAGAGAGAGAGAGAGAGCATAGGTATGTACTAGGTTATGCTGTGTAGGTCATACTAGCTCTATGATGTTACCGCAATGACAAAATCACCTACAATACATTCCTCAGAACATATCCTCATTGTTAAGCAACATGTACCTGTACTGTAAGAGTTGTGTGACCAGCACCTTAATCAATTTTAGAACATTTTCAGCACCCTAAAAGAAGCAGTCAGTGCCCATTCCACTCTCTCCTAATAACCTAGTAACCACTAATTTACTTTCTATCTCTATGGATTTGCCTATTCCAGACATTCATATGAATGGAATCATATGATATGCATTTTTTGGTGACTGTTTTCTTTCACTTAGCATGATTTTAAGGTTCATCAATGTTGTAGCATATGAGTACTTCATTCTTTTTAATGACTGAATAATTTTCCAATATATAGACATGTCACATTTTTTTATCTATCAATTAATGGGCATTTGTGTTGTTTCAGTTTTGGGCTATTAACAAGTAATGATGCTGTGAACATTAATATAAAAAGTTTTGCATGGGCATATATTTTCATTTCTTTTGGGTTTATATCTAGGAGTGGAATAGCTGTAACATATGGTAACTCTGTTTCACATTTTCAGATATTGACAAACTGTTTTCCAAAGCAGCCATATTTCATTCCCACCAATAGTGTACAATAGTTCCAGTTTCTCTGACTACTCACCAATATTTGTTATTTTTTCTCTTTTAGTTATAGCCATCAGAGTTGTGGGAATGACATATCATTGATTTTTTTTTGTTTTTGCCTTTTTTTTTTTGCCATAGGACACATGTGTTTGCCAGAGAGAGAGAGAGACTCAGAGATAGAGAAGAGAGAAAGTGAAAAATCACTCCCCAAAGGGAATGGCCGCACCACAATTCATTCTCCTCTTGGGATTTTTGGGCACACATGCACATGTGCTTGGCATGATTTTCAAGTCACCAGGTCTAGGACTCAAACTATAGGGCATGTGCGCTCGTCAGATATACAGAGAGAGACAGAGAGATAGAAAGCGAGAAATCACCCCCCGGGGGGATGGCCATACCGTAATCCCTTCTCCTCCATTCTCCTCTCAGGATCTTGGGCACACATGCACGCACACACGCCCATGTGCCTGGCGTGAGTTTAAGCCACTTAGTCTGGGACTTGAACCGCGGTTAACTACATGGGAGTTCAGCAACATAGCCATTATGCTAACTGTTGGTCCCCACAAGTGGTCTTAAAGTAAACATGAAGACTTGAACCTCTTGATTTGCATGACTTTGAGAGGTTCTCTGGGTCAAGTGAGTAGTGAACCATTTTCAAAGATCATTTCGGGCCATTTACAAGAAGAGCCCTCACTGATGTTTTGATTTATAGTTATTCATGTTGAGTATCTTTTTTTTTTTTTTAAAAAAAAAAAGGATTATTTTATTTAACTTTATTTATTTAAAACATTTTGACCAGAGAGGGACAGGTTGAGAGAGAGAAAGAGAGAAAAAGTAAGAAAGCAAGCCACCAGATCCGGTCCTTGAACCACAGTTGGCCATGTGGGAGTCCAGTGCCCTTAACCACTACACCACCTGCTAGTCCCTGAGCATCTTTTTATATCCTATTGGCCATTTGTGTATGTTTTTTGGAGAAATATCTATTCAGCTCATTTGTCCATTTTTATATAGGTTATTTGTCTTTTTTTTAGAGAGATATTTTTGCTATAGGGCATGTACACTCCCCAGAGATACAGAGAGAGACAGAGAGACAGAAAGTGAGAAATCACCTCCCAGGGAGTATAGCCACACTGCACTCCCTTCTCTTCCATTCTCCTCTTGGGATCTTGGTCATGCACATACACATGCCTGGTGTGAGTTTTAAGCCACCAGGTCCAGGACTCGAACCACAGTCAACTACATGAGAGTCCAGCAATATAACCATTCCACCATCTGCTGGTCCCAGGTTATTTGTCTTTTTATTCAATTGTAATCGTTCTTCATATATATATATATATATATA